AAAATGCCGTAGATAGTCACGAAATCATATAAATACCCCATGTCCTATTTAAACTCATGTTGATGTGGTACACATCAAATCACACGTCCTTAATTATTTATGTTTTCCTATTTTACGGCCGTGAACAACTTACGCCCTGTTTGGGAATACGCAGGGAGGGTTCTGCCGCGGGGTGCTGCGCTTGCAGCCACCAGTTTCGGGTACCGCCGCGAGATATGAAGACGTAAACGCGTCTTTGTATAACCGATCTCGGTCGTAAAAACAGTCAGTCCGTGCTAATGTTGTTGATATAAATATTAATTCTTTTCTTTTTGTTGTTTCAGTTGATATTGTTGTTGCTGCTGCTGCTACTATTTATGCTGCTGATACTATCGCTGCCGTTGTCGTTGTTGTTGCTGCTGCTGCTGCTATTTATGCTGCTGATACTATCGCTGCCGTTGTCGTTGTTGTTGTTGTAGGTGCTGCGGTTGCTGTTGTTGTTTTAGTTACTATTGTAGTTGATGCTGCTACTGCTGTTCATTCTGCTGCTGTTGTTGTCGTTGTATGTGATGGGGTCGCTGTAATTGTTTCAGTATCTATTGTTCATGCTGCTACTGCTGTCGCTGCTACTGATGTCGCTGCTACTGTTGTTGTAGTAGGTGCTGCGGTTGCTGTTAATGTTGCTCTGTAGATGATGATACTGATATTGCTACTGATGTTGATACTGCTGCTGTTGTTGTAGATGCTACAATTGCTATTAATGTTGTTCTACTTGTGGAACCACATTCCCTTCTTGCTTATCAGTTTAGATACATATAATCACATTAATTAATTAATCGACCCTAAAAATATATTCTATCTGTTTAGCTCTTATTAATGGATTCAATGTCTGCATACTTCGTCGTATGCAGGCCTACTTCAGGAAGGAAACATGCGATGATGCCTTAAGCGTATTCGTAAAATTAGAAGTGGGGCATTTTTTTATTTTGGTAAATATCTGAGGTATTTTTTTATATTTTAAAATTCTGGGGCATTTTCTTATAATAGCCTGGGGCGTTTTTATATTTAAGAAATTCAATGAAGCATTTTATTTTCCCCTTTCAAAATTAATAAAGTTTTTCTGCCCACCTAAGGTGAATAGATCCGGATGCGAGTCGGTAAATCGCTAATAAGTTGCAAATGATTCTCTCGTAGGGCTATTGGTGTTTGAGTGCAAAGGCCTCGACCTGGGAACAGGTGCAACATGTATTGGGGCTTATTTGGTCTATCGTATTATCCCATACTAATATCACGATGTTTGACGGGTGGAACAATGGATTGATGGGAAGAGAAAAAAAGCCGCGAAATATGGGAAGGAGTATTTGAGGGTCGGGGAAGGTATAAGCTGATGTCATCGGTAATTTTTCTCGTCTTTGTTACAGAATTCGGGATGTAAATCGCATAATGCAAAGCGAAATTTGTAGGTCAATAGCTCGATCCCTCTTCGTGCTACTCTTCGCCTACATTATTCTTCAACTGTACATCAGTAATATCTACTACGCGCATAACTTATCGTATAGACACGCATGGGTAATTGTCACTACGTGCACCACTCGTCGGATAGGCGCAATACTGTTGTTAAAATATTATATTTCGTCTATCGCTTTCTGACCGAGGCGCATATTTAAAATAGTACTGACCGATACTTTACTATATCAAGTCGAAATACGGAGGTGTAACTGGTATTGTAAATTTGTCTGTGTAATTTGAGACCAGTTAGCTTGTCTTCCATTAAGGGAGACAGGTCGGGCGTGTAGAACCATGCATTCATCAATACACCAAATTGACAATCAGAGATCGAACTGTATTTACGTGAAAGGAAAAATAGTGATGGGTTAAGGAGAATATCGATACAATGCGGTTGTGCATATTGTATGATTCGGTTGCCAACGAGCCGGTGAAATGTGTCCAAATAAACGCCACAAATTTTAACGTTGATCAAAAAAACATTTCAATATTGAGGTTTGCCTTTATATCATGAGTATAATCGCCGCAATATTCAAAAATTGATTCAATTTCAATTGGAGCGTATAATCTTTCATTTTTTAAAATTACATCAATTGGGATTTGGCCAGGACTCTCATACGTAATTAAGGGGACATTTTATCGTAAAGATGATATCAGCTTGGACGGCTAATGTGTATGATATAGGTATAATTATATGTTGTCATTTAGTTGGTTATATTACTAAACGATTAAACTATACTTAATCTACCAAGGTACGCACCCCCTTTTTTCGGGCAAGATCTTCTCGGCGCCCGACGACTGCACACGCGTGTTCCAAGGTAAAGAAGATCTTTTTGGATCGTTGGCAAAGTTCGCGAAGAACGATCTTGGAATTTTTGTCCCGTACCGCGCAAGTACTCACAAGACCCACTGCGATCGGACGCATCATACAAGTAACAATTTTTCAAACTAAATACGTGGAACGACATAGGTGTTTAGAAGATTGGATCAAGAAGTTTTAAACAGGATCAAAGAAATTATAATGCAAGACAGCCAGATCGCTGTGTGTTGATGTTGGCTTCATGATAGGTCTCTGTATCTTAGTAGGGTGAGGTAAATATCTTCTACAGCCGGAACGAAGAGCTCAAGCGAGCCCTAAAAGATTTTTTTCTTACAAGGTGAGCACATAGTCAGATAAAAATAATTTTTATGCAATGTATTAAATGGGCCGAAGTTGTCCCTATAATGCTATGATAACTTGACCTCACTGCTAAGGCTACTGATAGGATAATATCGTCAATCTGCTCCATCGTGACAGCGTATGTAATTGTTGAGGGTAAGACGAAGATGCTTACATATTGCATTTGCTTATAATTTCTTATTGAAGATTGGTTTAGCTCTGATTGCGTATCCGTTAAGCATCGTGTTAGATCGATTGCCACGATAAGACACAATAATATTATCTAGCGAGGCTCGGATCGGATTATCACCCTCCGTGAGTGGGCAAGTATGGGCAAGTGGAAGTCGTACCTATCAGTAGTAATTTTCTGAGATCGACTCTACAAAGCCTCTTCGTCGATAACTCACGTCGCGTGCGTGTAAGTGTGGCCGACTTGGACCAGAAGAGAAATCATCAGACTCATTAGAATACCATAAATGTCTAGTCGATCAGCCTCTAATTTGTTCACCACTTGGAGGCTTTTTAGCTTTCACTATCTCGAGAGACCAATTGGGTGACATCTTGTCGAATGCCACATCCATCCCGCCAAATTTGATGATCGCTAAATCGACATGATCATTTTTATGGGGAATCGTACACCCAGTAGACTCTACGCGCGCATCTGCTACACGTGCATTGGCATGTACACCTGCAATAATTGAGGTTGCAGGCTGACCAGTAACAGCAGCAGGTCACCTGGTACTTGGTAATAATTAGTTATCTCAGCAGCGTCACACATATTCGTGTAAACGTGCTAAGCACAGCTTCGACTGCACACCGCATGGACTTTCTAAGCATGCGATGGAAATCGATAATGAGTTGGGCTGACCAACGAGTGCTACCCTTTCCCAGAGTGATTGAACGGTAATTACGCTTCCACTAATAAGCTGTCAAATAGTCACTGAAGTGACGGATAGATAAGGAAGGCTGATGTCACGGGGTGAACCGTACCATGCCAATGACAACAAATTGATTCAGTGCGAGCAGCATCTGAGCAAATGATAGTATCCAAATTTTCTTTGCAAAGAAACGGTTGAGGGAATAATTTCTTCGACTGCTTCACTCACCAGCGTCTCATCTGCTGGTATGTAGGTCATTGTAGTAACTAAATAAACCACCAATAAATTCTAGACGCGCGTAAAGGATGTTGAGCAGGCAGCTGCATTACGTACTGACCGGCTGCCATAGTTATAGTAATGCATCGTAGATACGGTTTTATCACTTCAACTAATATATATATGTATATATATGCAGTCGCACTTGTTCCTCAACTAAACGAGTTTCAATGGTACCCCAGATTTCCTTTTTTACATGCGGTCTTTGTGAGGATTCGGAACGCATGCTAACTCTGTGTCTGTGTAGTTACCTATGACTATTTCAGTACTCGCAGAGTGTACCATGTTCCAATGCGAGTGATTTGCATTTCAGGTGAACAAATTGTGCATGTTGTTGAGTGCATTGCATCAATTCTAGGGGGGTGATCTACTCGAACCAATCTATGTGCAGGTGACTCATTATGAAGCGAGGGACGAGAATGGTTACGCTCACAGCTCATGTTATAGGCACATTGACAACGAGAAATAATCTAGCTCGAAGATTCCATATGTACGCCGTATTCGTCGCAATACTCTCCTCCTCTATATCCTCTCTTTTACTTCTTTGGTTGCAACCTCCAGTCACATCACTAATCAAGCATCAGTACACACATTATGCATCGCATAGGTCTTGTGCTATCCATTTGATCTCGTTGCACTCACCCTTCGATGTAACGAAATACGCTCGGCTTGCACTGACAAAGTACAAGCTACCTTCACCGGCACAAAGTAGGCAGGAGCCTCGGGTCTTCACGTATGCACTGTTCGTGCAGAGGAATGCTAATCTTTAGAAGGAACACGCTTGGAATAAGATTGAGGTAAAACTGTAATGCATTAGTCCAATGACCTGCAAACCCTTTTCGATCGTACGTAATGTAGTGGCCTTATAAAACCCAACAAGTAGAGCGGTGCTAATTCTTGCCGTCGTCAGAATGTTCCTTCATTCCTTTTCAGTTTGCTAACTATTGGTGACAAATTATCAATTTAGATTCTATTTGGATTGACCCAATCTTATGGCAACGCATCCGAGTGACGGGCATAGCCCGAAATGCTTAACCTCACTCTCTTTTCCACCACTTTATTGCAGCTTGTGCTTCTGTCCACCAAGTTGTCCAAACTGCTCAACAAACCAAAGTAGACCATGTTCGGATATACTGCGGATCCAAAGCCGACCATATTCCCACTTATCATGCCAACTGACCGGCACCACTGCACCTTTCCGTCTATTGCTGGAGCTGCCAGTCGTAATTGTCGATGCGAAACTGCGCAAACGACAAGAGCACTTCGTCCGCATCGCCAAAGAGCTCAGCTCTCGTCTCTTCGTCCGTGTGGATACGGACATCGGGAAGCGCTATGCTGTGCATACCCGCCGCCTTCGCGGCAGTGTACCCGTTCACCGAGTCTTCAAACACAATGCACAGCGGCGGGTCGCCGCCCTCGTCGCCCCCTTCGGTCAGACCAAACAGACGCTGACCAGCCGTCCGGAAAATGTCGGGCGCCGGCTTCCCCCGCTTCACGGCAGGATCATCGCCGCACACGATAGTCGAGAAGAAAGCGAACAACTCGCGATGGTGCTTCATTTTCGTCTCGACGACGCTCCGGCTATTGGACGTGGCCAGCGCCAAGGGAATGCCACGAGCGTGCAGCGCACGCAGCACGTTGAGGCCGCCCGGGAGCTCCTTGACGCGGTCCGACATGGCGCGCATGCGTGTCGCCCACTGCTCGAAGAGCTCGTTTGGCGTGATCGCCTCGTGGCTGAGCCCCGCGGCCGCAATGGCCATGCGCGTCCACTCGTTGGCAGGCCGCCCCAGAATCGTCTTGTGCATAGCCATCGTGAACTCCTTTCCAAACGGACGCAGGACGCCATCGATCGCAAGCCGACTCAGCTCTTCCGTGTCGAGCAACGTGCCGTCCATGTCAAAGATCGCACCGTACACTTTAGGCTTTGACGCAGTGGACGTCGCGGGCGTTGGCGTTTCTGTCGTGTCCATTTCTAGAGTGACGTCGGACGCAAGAGACCGATGTGAAGGGCACGTGGGATCTACAATACGGTTTTGTGTGGGTGTTGTTTAGTCAGTTTGAGTTGACACTGCGATCGGCGGCTGGACGACGTCTGGATACAGCACTCGTGCTTGCGACCAAGTGATTGGTATCTCCTCGTGGCCTATTTGCTGTAGCCGCTTATGTCACTTGCTTGACCATGGAACACGGTGTGAGGATTGTTACCCGACTCGTGGGTGCTATTGTTGCTCGAGTCAGAGATATGACAGAAGGGTGACGATCGAGATGGACTACAGCGCTGACAGATATGTTTTCAGAAGATCATGTACTTGTCGCTATCGAGCTTCCTGTCCAATCATTGACTATGTGGCTGCGTACGCGACTTGACGCGATGTACCAGTGTCACAGTATCCCAGCAGAACCTTGCGTCTAGTGCATTCGTGTATGCTGAAACTAAAGACTACACGGATCCAGCGCGCAAGTTCTCTCGAGAGCTCTACAGATCCTTGTGTCAACTCATTCGAGCTCGTCCTCGGCAACTTCTGCCTGCTCAGTCTCCTCGTCTTCCTCGTTGTAAATGTTCTCGGCCATCTGCCAGATTTGTAAGACATTGTCCTCTGCTACCGACGCTACCACCCACGGGTCGTTCGGGTTCCACGAAAAGTCTGAGATTTTCGACGTGTGGCCGCCGTGAATAAACAACAGCTCTGGCGGACCGTCCTCGGCGTCTTCAGGCGATTGCTCGTCACCAATCTGCCGCATAGAAAGCAACAAACGAACAGTCAGACACGATCCGGTAGCTGGCGGTAGACGCTATAAACGCACCTTGCTGAGGTCCCACACATGCATGCGGCGGTCAGCTGAACACGAGCCTAGAATGGTCTCGTTGTGAGGAGACCACTGAATCTGGTAGACTTCATCGTTGTGACCCTCAAATGAATGCAGTTTCGCCTTCATGTTGCGCATATCCCAGAGATTCACGTGCTTGTCCGCTGAGCCCGTGGCGACAAGGTACTCGCTGAACGGACTAAATGCCAAGCAGTTTGCCTCGGCGCTGTGAGCGTACACCGTTGTCGCTGGCTTATCGTAACTCTCCAAGCGCATGTCCCAGCTACAACAACATACGGGCAGACACGTCCACGACATCAGCAAAGACGTCAGCAAGGCGTCCAGCAGTCAATTATGTACTCGCTGATCAACGCACACCAACGTACATGAGCAGCTTCTTGTCGTCACCGACCGAGCCGAAAATCTTGGCGTGGTGCATGTGCCACGCCACGTCCTCGATCACGTCACTGTGTCCGCTGTACTTGTGCAGCGGCTGCACCGTTTTACCAGCATTGCGGATATCCCACTCACAGATAACGGCATCATCCGAGCCTGATATGAGGTGAAAAGGCTGGTGCGGATCCCAGCACAGCCCATACCCTTCCTTTGTGTGACCCAAGAGACGAAAATCCGGGTCCGAACCTGAGTTCTCTTCAGGTTGCGACGGCCGCTTTGAAATGTCAAACACGTGCACTTCGGCATGCGGCGTCTTTGTAGCCACAATGAGTTCATCCGACGGCATAAAGCGCGCGCGGTTTACCTCCCCGTCGTGATTGATGCGGATCTTAATGTCCACTTTGCCCGACACACCTCCAAAGCCACCCAGCTCCTGACTCTCCTCGTCGTACTTGCGCGCATCGATCTCTGTATCCTCTAGCGGCAGCCGAACTTCGGCCACCATTAGGTGATTTTGCTCTGCACCAGACGTGTGTGTGCCGAGCAGCAGCTTGTGCACCGAGAAATCATCGCCTGCTGAGCTGTCCACGCAGTACACAATAGACCATGTCCGAAAACGTAAACAATTGGCACACCCTTTTTTCGCAATCCAACTGCACACACGATAATGCAATCAACGGCAATTTGTAGCCATTATGACGTACGTGTGGGAGTTGGGCAGCCACTGGACACTGAGCGACGGCCATTCGAGCGCGTGCGTCATCACGAGATCGTACAGGAACGGCGTGTTCTTCTTCCAGATCTTGTACTCCTCGTTGATCATCTTCTCCTGCATCACGACGTCGTTAGCAGCTGCAACGTCCACAGACGTGGCGGGCGCAGCAGTCGCTGCTAAACTGTTCGTAGGCTCCGAGGCGTCGGCCATATTGCGAATGGGTCGCACTTGGCTGGATGCGAACTTGAACAGTCGCGATTGGCTATTATCCGTCCTTTTGAACAATGTATGAGACGGCTTCTCATTGGCTTTTATTCGACATCATGTGTATCCATCGATCGAGGCACGTAACAAGATACTTTACCGAGTCAAAAGGAACATGAAGCGTCGTACGACCTGGTGGAGCTGACTTCGATGTGGATCAACTGGTTATCTGATGGCTGTTTGTGGTGATGGTCGTAGCGGTGCGGCTGATTGTAGCAGGATCGCTTCTTGTGATGGCGCTCGTGGGGATTACCGTAGCTTCAGCCGCGTACTCAACGTCGTGGGGTCTCTTTGTCCGTACGCTACGATGGGCTGATAGCTTGTTCGCTTTATCGTCCAGCTCCTCCTTTTTATGCACGTATTACAATGGGATATAATCCTAACTCACGTGACTCTGTCGTTGCTATTTCTAGTATTCCCGTACGTGTTACTACCCATGACAGCAGCTGCATTCTCAACTTTGGCAGGAGGCGACGAATTGAGGTACGTGGGGACAGTGTCGACGATACTGGTGGCCGCGCCGCTCTCTCTTCGCTCATTGCGTTCTCTTGATTTGTAGCGCCTGGACAAACTTTGGATGCTTTTTTGAGGCGTTTCTATGGACCAGCACGTTTGCGATACCTTCTATTTTGTATCGAGCTGACGCGGTACAGTAGTTGCGCTTGGCCAGCTGGATATCATGATCAAATACGTAGCAGGCTGATAAGCAAAAGTCCTGACAATGGTTGTGTGTTTGTGTTGGTTCACACACAGCTTATTTTACCTCAAGTGGGCTGGCTGATGGCGTCAAATGTGCTCGTGTTTGCATCCTTCATGAGTTTGGCGTTGACCAATGAGGACTGAGTCCAGATTTTGAGTGGCAAGCGCACCACAATCGTTGGCGGAGACGCTTTGTGCGCTGATGCAAGGCTGCCGTATTTATGATGTAGTATCAGCGTGCCTAAAACCAGGATTTGACCACAGAGTTGTGCGGCGCACCAGCTTATTTCGCATTGATGCAATCATTTATAAGCAGCTCATACTTCGGACGTCGTGGTTACTTCCCGCAAGTTGTTGCACAAAGCGTGATGTTTTGCGTAGCATGAGCAATGCAATGGTCATGATGAGCTATCATGTAGCCCTCCTCCTCCTCCCCGATGTCACTGTGGGCGCTACGAGGGTCGCAAAAGTGTAGTACGTTTCCGTCAAAACAAATGCTAGATGCGTGCTTCTGGTGGTGAAATGATGAGAGCCTTGTTCATGTAAAAAGACTGTCAACTTGTGACGGACGATGACAAGCTTTCGTCATCGTTTGATCACTAGGCCGCCGATAGACTTGCGGGGGATCAGTCAAGAACGCGTGCACTTGTCGATTTGCACCGCTTCAAATGTACCACGCTTGGCGTTTGCAACCCTCACTTTTACATGACGTGGTAGTTTCCAGATAGTATCTACCTTTACGTGAAAAAGTTGAGCAATGATATACTCGTGAACAGGTGTGATTTTTTCATTCTTTATTCTCAATGTCGGTACCAGCATCGTTGTGGTCACTTTCTTGATCCACAAGATCGAGGACGGCTCGGAAAGATCGCCCACCTCCTTACTATAATACAGGATCTAGGACGGCTTGGAAAAATCGCCCACAGCCCTTGGTTTAAGTCTTGATGTCTTATTAGCCTTCTATATTCAAACCACTAAGACGAGAAGCAGCGCAAAAATGAAAACTGTGATGATACCAGAAGTAAGTTTCTCCATCAATCTACTTATGAAAATGGTGAAGAAGCTCAATGAAGCTCGCTCAAGTCGGTTTAGCTTGTAGATAGAGGCTGCGTTTGCAGCCTTAGAGCTGAGCTCAAAAGTAGTGCATTCCCTTCTGGTCGTATTCTCTCTTGAGCCAAACTGTGCCAATTGAGTGCATGATCAAACATGTTGCTGACGCGGCGGTATTTCTTTCGGTCACTTTTGTTGCAAATGTTGGATTTCGGTACGCGGCATTGCACCATGCAAATTGTTGTGGTACATGAAGACCCTTCGGATGGGCGGCAGCAAATGCTGCTTCTACTGTACGTACACATTGCTCTTTCTGATGTCTTGCACTCAAAGCTGCTGCAGGACCACACAAGACTAAAAATGGCTCGAACGTGCAGGATAAGGGCTTTATAGGTGCCACACATGCGTGGACATGATGGGTCAATGCCCGTGCACGGAATGCTCACGCCACGTCAACAAGAATCTGTGCTTGTATGTAGAGTGGCAGCAAACGCTGGCGAGAGGACTGTCAAGACAAGGGCAAGAGTACCAGACCAGGATGAGTCACCTGTGCTATCTAGTAGCGTCCGACGAATATGAGTAGTTATTTTGCACACGGACTGTGCTATGCGTGCATGGGGTGTAAGAAGCCTTTAGAACAACGATTACCTATTGTCTACATCAACGAACTACACGCCGTCCCAATCTTGGCAATTAATCATAGTCCGTGGAAGTCGGTATCTGTCAAACAGTAACGACTGTTGTTGTCACGAGCTGTAACGAGGTGAGCCCGTTACACAAAATTGATACGAATGTTACAATTTTTTAGAACTATCAAACTTGATAATATTCAATCAACATCACTCGAGACGAGGTGATGTTGACGGATGGTCACCTCGAAGGTAACATTCTTTGGGTGCTCCACTTAATGGTTGATGTATACGGTACATCAATCAGATGAACCACCAATCGCTGATGGACGCGCGCAATGTGTGGTGAGCAAGAAACCCCACATAGGAAATTGTACTTTTATATAGTTAGACGAAGACCAAGATGGTTACAAAGAAACTAAACTAGTTATATTTAGCTTTACTTTAACCTTAAACAGAGCTTCCGACCTTTGCTTACTTCCTCGCGCTTCCTCACGCCACGTGTACGTGACGTCGAGAGTAAGAAGCCTTGTGTTCTTATCCTGAATACGCATTTGGAGTCTTTGGGAAGTACAACGCAGAAGCGCTGCAATGGGAAAAGAGACTAAGAACAAGGAAGCCTACAAAACGCTCGACTTATTTTCATTATGATGTGCCTCCTACCTGAAAAACTATATCTCATGGCGACGATTATAGGGACATTTCGCCACGTGTCTTAGCTACCGTTACCTCCTCTTACTAACGCTATACACAAATGGAAAACTCGAAACTCTTGAAAGTTCCAAAATCATGTGACACGGTGATTACACTCGTAGAATACCGACGTTTCATCCGCAGTCAGTCCAACATTCTACTTGATGACAGAAATTGCTGATTGTTTATGCTACCAAAGAAGCGCCTACTTTACGGCCATTAGAAATATGCGATAAGGCGATAGTAAATGTGCGATGGGTCGATAGCTGATGCGCGACCATGCGATTCGTCATGCGCATCCACCATCTTTTCAACATCGACCTAGCAGCACACAACATTTGTAGAAGCACGCAACCGATAGTTACGCGCGGTCGCGCTACGCAAACACCGGGCGGCCGAGACAGCCAATCGAGGGTCTACTCTACATGCCTGTATCAAATTGCTTATTCGAAAAACAAGAGGACCTCTTTATAGTTATGGTACCAGTCCTGATCAGTCTATGGGACCCCGGCGCTTATATCCTACCTCATGACGTGTCAGATGTCTTTCACACAGTCATTGGATTTCTCTCACACGTGCGCGATTAAACGATAAGTCATATGCGACTTAACGATCACCAATACAAAATTGAGCGATTATTCGTGTCTATGTAACAGAAGCATTTAGTAGGCCTAAAGTAGCGAAAACATTGCGAGCTAAGGTAACCTATGGATGCAGCAGAATCTGTGCAAATGAATAATGGTGTGACGAACTTCGTCGTAGCGTTAAGAGGTTAACATTTCCGTTAGTGGATGCATTCTTCCAGTACGTTTTACTTGGACGCAGGTATTAGACGCAGGTATCTCAATCCGATGCACATACGGAACCTGCTGTACTCTTCGGTGGAGCGGATCACTTCGTCCATTACACATAAGGTAGACATCATTGATATATGTATTTCTAATAAGCTAGAGGACGAGTAGGAGGACTGTGGAGTAAATTCAATTAGGTAAATGGGAAACTGGACTTTTTATTGACTTTGCGAACACGGCAATGACCAACTTGTCGCTACCGCACCGCGTTTCCTTTCTTGTAGGCCTTCCTACCTATGTAAGCGCATTATTATAAATCCTTCGTTCACAGTCATGTCGCGCCTCGATCTATAGTATCAATGTAAAAAAAACTCTGCGAAGTCGTGGGTATTGATCGGGCATATTGATCCAGTACCCGTAACCTCCACCGTAAAGCATCCTATGGTACTGTACAATCATGGGTGGTACTGCGACATCATTGCAATAAGGTAATATTGTTGCAGCCTGCTAGTCTTCTTCGCACGTGTTTAGGTTGTGCGTCACAATTTTTTACAGTATCGAGTTAATTAAAGTTGAATGTGAACAATGAATAGGACCTCAAATTACATTTCATTATCATAAAGATTGGCTCATTATATATGTGTATGATCCAACTTCGGGCGAAGGCATTGATACTAATATAGGTTAGAATGTGGGCTGTAGACACGTTTTAATGTACTTCCTTTGCACTTTACAAATTATCTCAAGCGACACTTCCTCTTTAGTTATATTTGAAACAAGTAACGAAAGAGGTAGCAGGTAATCGATCACGAAAAACCCGATGATATCTGAATTGTCGCAAGCATGTACGTCTTTATCATGATTTTGATGTACCCATGCAGACACATGATAATTCGTCCCGTGATCGATCCATTTATGTGATGTGCACTGGTGAATACGTACTGACTTTAGAACGCAACTTACACTTACTATCTTCAGTTGATGATAGTGCCCCGCTACCTCATGTGCGCAGAGGAATCTGTCGCTCCTAAACGACATCATCTAGAAGTAGATAAGTACTTTTCGTTATTTTAAATGGCGAAGTTCTAAACCCGTCTCATCATTTAGTCATATGAACATACAATCGTGTATGGTGACGTCTACTCGCGCGCGATTCACGTAGTCAATTTTGGGCTTACACAATGGTCTACACAAACCCATGAGCAGGATCTTGGGTCACAGCAACAATATCACTGTATATAGTGATGTTACTGATAGAATATTCGGTGTAATATTCGTTATTGTAATTTCTTGCAAACGGAAATATTATGAAACATGATCACCCGTTGGATCACCCCCAAGCCGATAGTCATTCGAGTGAATATGTTTAGTTTAGTATCCACCCGTTGGGTCACTCTGGGGCAGGAAATAATTGCTTATTTCAATTCTTCCATTTCTGACGCCGATTGCATGTCGAACAATTTATTGTGGTGTGCTGCAAAAGCCGCTGATTGAGTATCTGCACGAATGAACCCAGCTGCAAGTGATAGTGCATACGCAACGTCGTCAGAAAAGTCGTCATCTGCTGCTTCTTTGCCAAAACTTGCATCGCTTATTACTGCTACATTTGCACATGGTACTACACCAGGTGTATGTAATAGTACGATGTATGACTCTGGCGAGTCGAAAGTCGGTTACGACCCAGTAAAAGTTGCGATGTCGATCGTAGCACCTATCGTGGCCAAAAATGAGCCTCAAAGCTAGAAGACTCGACCAAACAAAATGCCTCATGAGATGTATCACTGCCTCTTTAGGTTTGATAATGATGTTGTATTATTATCATCTAAGCCGACTCTTGAGCACTTAAAAAAGAGTAATAACGACGGAGGCTCGCGCCATCGTAACATTAGTGATCGTGGAGCCGCTACTTTATTCATTACCACGCAGAATACTTTAACGCAATTTCTTGCGATCAGCCCCTGAGGTTAAGCCATGGATTTTT